CGCAGGGTCTATGCTTCTGTCAGAGATCTGGTGGAGCCTGAAAAGCAGTGTGAGGGGCTGTGGTATTTTTAAAAAGGCACAAGTAATATGGGATGGAGAAAGTGGCAAGGTGGGAACTGGATCCCTGGGTGAATTGCAGGTATCTCACACAGCAGTGAGCTGGAAAGTAGCATGGGGTCTACTAAGATACCTACACATGGTGTGACACATTCTGCATCAACACAGGCACTCGTGGTGAGAATGTGTAGCTCTGATGCAAGCACCTGCTCATCCATGTGCCTGAGCGGTAGACAAAAGTCAGCGGCTGTATGCTGACATAACTTGAGTCAACCAACCTTTGTAGCGTAGGTTTGGCCTGGATCCAAGTGAGCATTGAGCTGCTGGGCTGGGGGAGGAAGAGACAGGTGTAATCAACTGCCCCGATACCCTATCAGTAAGGGCAGTGTGGCAGTATCCTGGCAAGCAGTAATATAAGAGGGCTTCATTTGTTCTCCCATATTAGGGAATCTTTCAGCTGCTGTTTAACAGAATTTCCAGATTTATCTGATATCCCTCCTGCACAACTGTTACTAATCCTATTTACCAGTCCTGTTGTGACAGGTTTTCATTACCAATCTGCCTGAGGCCACAGTTGATCAGGCTGAGGCCACAGGATCTTTTTGGGGAGGAGATGACAAGGCACACCAAGTGTCTAAATTTTAAAGCTTTATTGATAAAATAATAAAATAACAGTCGAGAGTGCTAGGAACACTCCCATGTCACTCAGGGGAAGAAAGAAAGCATTAATGCCCAAGCCCTAACCCACTTTCATACTCACACCCGCACTACCCAGACTGGCCAAGTCTGGGTGTAATGTCAGAAGAAGGGGGGTGGGGGTGGGGGAAGGTGGATGGGAGTGCTGTCCTGGGCCCAGGCTGTCCAAGGATCTGCTGTGCTCTCTGAGTTGCTTCAGCTTTTGGGAGAGTATTAAGTCCTGGGCTCCTCGGGGGGGGGGGGGGGGGGTTTCTTTCAGGGAACTCTGCTCCTGGTGCTCTTTGTGCCAGTCCAAACCAGCTTTCTGTGGTCTCTTCAACTTTCCCCAAAACACACCGGTTTCAGGGCCGTGAGACAGTTCTGTTTGTTCCTGGCTGGCCTTCGCCGTTTTGCTTCTTTTCCTAGCCCCTGCATTTTGTTCAGCAACTTTCCTTTCTCACGGCTGGGCTGGGTGGGGGGAGGGGGCGGGGGGGGTTGGACTTCCCCCCTTCTGTCTTGGTAGGTAGCAGCTGGCCTTGGGCTGGAGGCAGGTTATCCTTTGGCCTGAGCTTGCTAGCTGCAGTGTTGAGTTAACCCGTTCTCTGCTTTCTTCCCCCCCCCCCCCCCCCCCCCCCGCCCCGTCTCGGCCTTTCGTACTCCTGCAAAGGAATCTTCCACTCTCCACTCACACACCTTTAACCCTCCCCAAAATACTTTGTGATGATTGCAACAGCGTTAGCAATATGCAGTGTTGATCTACCTTCCCAGGGGACTCCCTAAGGGGAGGGGGCCATTGGGTTGTGACATTGTCCACTTTGTTTTGCAGTATCTTATGCCCAGTACAGAAGGCTTAATGGTGGGATATTTTAACCCAGTACCCTGAAACCCAGGAGGAAAAGATTCTACTTTGACGAATAGTAATAAGATTCCTGGAGGGGGATCAAATTTCTCTTGGATTAAATCTGTGCTTAGGAACATGGCAAACTGGGAGGCTTCTATTTTAAGCTTAAAGTCCCAAAGAGATACAATGAGTTTCTGAGAAATGAAGTGGGAGAGCTTTTAATCTTGGGCATAATATCAGCAGAAAACTTAGCAACCTTGTTAAAGTCTAAAATCCATTTAAATTGTAAACAAAAGAAAAATGCAGCAGAACATGGACAAACGTATCTGAACAGGTAGGTAGGTGTGTGTGTGTGTGTGGTGTGTTGCGCCTCACAGGAGCTACTATTTGTCTAGCATAATTAGTTTACATTTTTTTGAAAGGGCCAAATTCTGCCCTGCCTTGAAGTCAGTGGGGCTTTATGGTTTGTCAGGACATAATTTGGCCTAAATGCAGAATTAGAATATCTTTCTTATGACTGAAAAAATGTGTTCATATGCACAATATTTTATTTTCAGGATGCGTATCCTGTCGGCCTGCACTTCAGCCAGATTAATTATGCTGAGGGGTGTTTGTGAAAGTGAGGGGATAAAGCCAGGCATATTATGGCCAGCTGTTGTCCAACCTTTCCTGCATTGCTCTGCCAGTGAGGTCCTGGTCGAGGCGCACCACCCTCTCTCCCAAGGCCAGGGCTTCTGCAGAGCAGAGCCTGCAGTGGTTTTGACACCAATAAACACACTGGCCAAAATTTTCCAACTAACTAATAGGTTTTGGGTGGCCAATTTGAGACAACTTAAAGGAACTGTTTTAGAAGGTGGGTGCTCTGCACTTCTGGAAAATCTCAAGCCCTTTCAAGGTGTCTCAAGATGGGCACCCAAAAATAACTAGTCACTTTTTAAAATCTTGGCCAGTCACTGATGTGTGAGTGACTTTATCTGAGGTTTTAGTCTGTCTCTGTAGAAGTGAAAAATGAGTCTGCGTTAGAAAATGTCCCATGAAGCTTTTCCAACAGTTTTGTTTGCTGCCAGTATTCTACCCTTGCAGATGGCTAATGCATTATGGCCTAACGCAGTGAATGAAGTTAAGACAAATAAACCTGAAGAGCATATTGACTAATTGATTCTTCTGAATTATTTACCTTCCGTGCTGAATGACACCCTAATACAGATGCACACTCTAGAATCCACTGACAAATGTTATCTTTCTAGGTTTATCCTGGGCAGAGATTTGGGCATGGGTCTAGAGGGAAATAATGGAGATAAAATGAAGAAGAGTGCTTTGATCCAAATTAGTTTTAGGGTGGTGGTCAAATTTAAAGCCGAATCAGGGTTTAGATTTGCTGGGTCCAAAGTTTTGTAGGATTAGTTGCTGTTGTGAGATTCCTGCCATTGTGAGATGCAGTGTCACAGGAATGGCTTTCTCAAGCCATTCTGATTTGGAACCAAAATCGTAACTGAGAGAAATCTGCATCTGGCAATTGGGATCTGATTCTCTTCACCCTCCAGAAATTTAAAGAGGTTTGAGGGTCTGGTTTCAGCACGTCTCTAGAAAATAACTTCCAGAGCAAAAGACAAACCTGTTATGCCCATCAAATGTAGTGAGTTTATAATGCTTGAACATATCAATTTTAAAAGGAATGGGGTTTATTATGTCCCGTCCCATGAGAATGCCTTTGGAAAAGACACGGATTCAGCTACCCTCCCCAAAAAAGCTGTGTCACTCTCTCTCTGTGTGTGTGTGTGGGGGGGGGAGGGGGTTTGTAGACACCTGACCTAAAATAAGACCTGTTAACCATCTGCATGGAGCGGACTCCATATTCCCTATTGGTGAGAGTGACTCTCACAGGAAATCTAGTCAGAAATAAACCTTCATAAAACCGGCCCTGCGAGCCTGCCGCTCTTTCCTGTGGAGCTCGGTGTTGGAAGTAATTCAGCTCCAGACTTTATTTTTTCTTTGTGGATTTTGTTAACGTTTCTCCCCACATCCAGGTTAGTTTCCCACATTGCCTTGCTCCAGAGAGGGCAGGTGCCCTGCCCTCCCCAGAGGCAGAATTTTCGGGGGTGTTTCTGAGTTTTTGCCAGACCAGTTCTTCTATGGCAGCTCTCTCTCACTTTCTCCCACCCTTTGAGGATCTCTCCTGCCTAGTGGTGAAACAAACTGCCTCTCTAACATGACCATTCCCTGCCCCCTTCTCCTCTGCCCAGAGCACAGCCACATTAAATTGAGCTCTGTCTAGAGTCAGTCAGCATTGCTGTCTGATCATCCAGTGGGGTATAAATCTGCCAGCCATCTGCTTGGGATGGGGAGATCCTAGCTCTCTTAGGGGTAGAAAGTGGTGGTGGGCTGTTTGTTTTTTATTGGGGGGAGACTCTACTGCTTGATCAGTCTCGTCTCTTGATTTTTGGAGACTGCCTGCTGTAAACTGTGGGCATCTTCTAATTAAACCAGCCTGTCTTCATGCCGTTGTCATTGCACAGGATGTGGTCACAAATTTTGCCACTCAAGTGCTGCACCAAAGCCGAGCCCAACTTCCCATTTCAGTTATAAGCCCGTCACAGCTTGACCCACGATCGTAAAGCTTACTGTCGTCCCAGTGCTGCACAAACCCTAACCAGCCCTTAAAAGACCCTTGTGTGTTGTTTTTTCATACATAGGGAAACTAAGGCCATGTCTACACTAGTGAGCCTACAGCGGCACACCTGTATTGAAGCAGCGGCGCGGCTGGAAGATGGTTTGTGTAGCTGCTCTGTGCCGACGGGAGAGAGCTCTCCCATCGACACAATAAAACCACCTCCACGAGTGGCAGTAGCTGAGTCGGGGAGAAGGTCGGTCTCTGACATAGCACTGTGCACACTGCCGCTTAACCCAGCAACACTTGCGTTGCTCGGGGAGGTGTGCTATTTGCACCCCTGAGCGACACAAGTTTTGCCGACATAAGTCCTAGGGCAGACATAGCCTAAGACTCTGATGCTAAGTGATTGCTCAAGCCCCCCAAAGAGTTAGCGACAGCCGTTATTAGATCTCAGAAGTTCCTGGCTCCAGCTGCATGTTTAGACTGCTAGGCTATGCTGTCTCACTGGAACTTGATACTAGAACAGCGTGAGACTGAGCCCCTCCTCTGATGGGGTGAACAGATGGGGAAAGCAGAAGATTCCAGAAGACTTCAGCTTTGTGTGTCATAATGAAGGCAAGACAGTAGCAGTATGTGGTATAAGCCTACATTGCTCTTATGTTCGGTTGCCTCCATAATAATCTGTAACATCATAACAAAATAGGGTTTAAAGTAGTCTGCTGCATATGACATGTGGCTTTGAGGTAATCCTTTTACTTCTCAGAGGATGCTCAAAGTGAGTCTGAATAATGGCAGGTTCTTCTTTCCTTTTCAAAGACACGATGCCTTCAGTTCCTCCAGAAGCAGAGATGGACAATGGTTCCTGCCCTCACTTCTCTGCTAAATGTGTGCTGAATGGAGGCCTGGAGAAGGAGCCCGGTAACATCAGTGAGGAGAGAAAGTGGATCCGACCTGACACCCCTAGCAAATGTACCTGGGAGCCGGGGAAACTCCCCTCTGAATCCCCTCATTATCACCCCACTTTGTAAGTGATACCTTTCTTTCCTTGTTGCCTTTCAGTGTTAACCAAGACTTTGTCCCCTCAGAGCACTGCACGGGTTTAACTAAAGGTGTGAATTTTTTTAGCTGTATTAGTTAAATTGGCATGATTTTGCATATGGACACTTTTGTATCCGATACCTGTAATTTACAGTTGCAAGCTCAATTAATATGTTTAAACCTAGCTTATGTTTTATAAAAGAGGCAAACTCCCATTGACTTTAATGGGGTCAAGAAGACATCTTTTGTGTTTGACAGTTCTTTTTGCTTTCTCGTATTTACACATTCACTTTCATCTTCCCTAAATGGCACTATTTAAACCTCCCTCCCAAAAAATGCAGGCAAGAAATGAATAAATTCACCAGGAATTTGGTCACACCTGCCTGTAATTGCAGCATTAATCTGTGCTCAACATTTCATAGATTCATACAGCCAGAAAGGAACATTAGATCATCTAGTTCAGTGGTTTTCAAACTTTTTTCATTTACAGACCCCTAAAAAAATTTCAAATGGAGGTGCACAGCCCTTTGGAAATCTTTGACTTAGTCTGCAGTCCCGAGGTTGAAAAACCACTGTTCTATGGTAACAATAACCTTTCTCAGACCCCTTAAACATAGTTTGCAGACCTCTAGGGGTCCATGGACGACTGGTTGAAAATCACTGATCTAGTCTGACTATTTGCGGTCTGCTTTTGTTGACAAACCATGGTTTGGAGCAGTCATGGCATTGATGGAGTTTATATGTGCATGCACATATAGAAATGACTGACGCGTTCATTTTTCCTGGAAGGGCTGAAATTTATGTCAACCTACTTCAGATGGTGAGAGCATAGCAGGCTGTGGATCGCAGCTTTGTAGTTCTTGCCTTTGACCTGGGAATCATTCTTTATCTCCCTCCCCCTGTATATCTCTCCAGTGAATATGCTTTTTATTGTAGCCCATATCTGCTAGAAGGCGAAAATGTCTGAAATCTTATAAATTACCTCCCTGCTCCCCCTCATTACTAATTTGAGATGCAGAGAACTCCTTTTCACCTCTTTCCTTAAAATTAACAATACCCCTTCCAAGCTAAACGGCCTGTTCTTGATGTTTAATAAATAAGATTTCCAACTCTTCTAAACAAAGAACATTGCTAACAATGTACAAATATTCCCTTCACATTAATCTTTTGCTTAAAGAAGCTGATGTGAAGCTGCATAAGCCAGAGGGCTTGTCTACACTGACAAGTTTCTTCGCAGTAAAGCAGCTTTTTGTGCTCAAACGGCAGATGTGTACACACTGCCAAGCCACTTTTTGCACAGAAACTCCTCAGTTGCAGCACGGCAAAAAAACCACCTCGTCGAGAGTCGTAAGGCTATTTGCACAGGGGCTCCAGCACTCTATTGCCAGTGTAGATGCTTAATTGCTTTCTGCGCTGTAATTGGCCTCCGGAGCTGTCCCATAATGCCTCAAGCGGGCTGCCCTGGAGACAGGTGCCCCTCCCCTTTCAAAGCACCGTTTCTGACAGCCTTTGCGTGCTGTGCTGATCTGCTCCGGGACACAAAGTAAACCAATAATGTGGAATGCTCGTGCTGTTGAACACAGAGGGCTTGGCTACACTTGCGAGTTAGAGCACATTAAAGCAGCCCCGGGCGCCCTAGCTCACTACCCATCCACACTGGCAAGGCACATAGAGAGCTCTGACTCTAGGGCTAGAGCGCTCTTGGTACTCCACCTCAGCGAGAAGATTAACACTTGGTGCGCATTGGCTGAAACGCCTGGGCATCACTGTGAATGAGTGTTGCATTACTGCGCTCTGATCAGCCTCCAGAAACTTCCCATAATCCCCTTAAGTCAAGTGGCCACTCTTGTCATTGTTTTGGAATCACTGCAGGAATGCGGATATGCCCTTTGAAAGCTCTGTTTCTGACAGCCAGCATGCTTATCTGCCTTGAGACAAAGCAACCATTACAGTAACTCCTCACTTAACGTTGTAGTTATGTTCCTGAAAAATGCGACTGTAAGTGAAACGATGTTAAGCAAATCAAATTCTTCTTCGAGTGCTTGTTCACGTCCATTCCACATTAGGTGTGCGCGCGCCGCGTGCACGAATCGTCGGAACTTTTTTCCCTCAGCGGCTCCCGTCGGGCCCGCAGGGTCCCCCTTCCCGCCAGAGCGGCGCCCCGCCCTCGCGTATATATATCCCTGCAGGCCCGACCCTCCCTCAGTTCCTTCTTACCGCCCGTGGCGACGTTGGAACAACTCTGTCTCTCGCCTGAGAGTGTCCCTTAGCATAGCCATTAGCAGTAGTTAGCAGTTCATAATTACAGTTAAGAGTTTTAGTGTTAAGTAGTTGTTTAGTTCTTCTAAGGACCAAAATCACTTGGTGATAGGGGTTTGGTCAACCCCGGCACCGGCCCTGGGCGGCGGGGCATGCCGCACGCCCAAGGCTTTAAGGCGTGTGCCGCGTGCCGCAGGCCTATGCCAGTGAGCGACCCGCACGAGTCGTGTCTCCGTTGCCTCGGGGAAGCTCACCAAAAGGAGCGCTGTAAAATTTGTAAGGCCTTCAAGCCCAGAACCAAGAAAGAGAGGGAATTTCGCCTTAGACAGCTCCTCATGGAGGCGGCATTACAGCCCTCCTCTTCCGCGGCACCGTCCGCTTCGGTGCGGAGCGCCCCGGCATCGGTCCGCGACCCGACACCGGCGGCGCAGACTAAGCCCGCGGCACCGCCAAGGCGGGAACATGCCCGGCACCGATCTTCTTCGCCGGCCAAGGCAAAGGGCCAGCCTAAGGCCCGGGGACGCTCCCCTCATAAGAAGGCGGCACCGGCGAAGCCCGCAAGTGCGGCCAAGGCCGTAACGGCCCCGGTACAGGTCCCGGCACCAGTGGCTCCGGCGCCGAAGGGCCCGTCGAGCCCCGGGACGAGCGCGTCGAGTGCGGAGGATGGGCTGGAGGAACTGTTGGAACAGCCCTCCACCCCGGACACATTTGAGGCGGCAAAGGACCTCATCGAATTGTCCTCCGAAAGCACACTCCGCGCTGCAGACATTCCGCCGCGGCTGCCATCCAAGGGCAAACCGGCGATGATGCGCCCGTCGCGGTCGCCATCTCGGCACCGTTCACGGCGCCGGTCCCGGTCGAGCTCCACCTCGGTGGACTCCCGGCTTCCCGCCGCACAACGGGCCGCGAAACAGTCAGGGCCCGATGCGAGCGTGGCACCGCCTCAGCAACCCGGCTCGAGCAGGCGCCGGGACGCTTCGATGGCGAGACTTCCAAGACCACCCTCCCGCAGCCGCTCCCGGTCCCGCGGTCAACGGTACCGTTCCCGGTCCAGATCGGCACGCCGGTACTCACGGTCCCGGTCCAGACGGCACCGCTCCCCGACACCGGACCGGCACCGCCCCACGGCACCGCCATGGCCCTCTAGGTCACCGTCCCTAGCGTCGGAAGAGGACTCGGGCCTTTCCAGATATGGCCGCAGAGGGCATGCCGCTAGAGAACACGAGGCCTCTTGGCAACCACATTGGAACCATCCTGGGCAGTGGCCATTCTGGACACCGTGGGCCTATCATCAGCAAGGCCCTCCATCCAGGACTTCGAGGTCGGGTCCCTCAGGAGACCGGTCCCGCTCCCCACGGTGCCGCCCTACCTCCCGTGCGGAGGCCACGGTCTCCAGACCACCGGATGCAGAGAGGGCGGACTCGGCACCGAGCTCGGCACCGTCCCTGACTCGGGACAGGGGGCGCACCCCGGAGGGACGCCCCACCGAGGAGGAGATACAGGAGGACGAGGAAGCTCAGAAAGCCATGACCTCCTCCTCCTCGCCGGACGAGGCCGTGGCGGGCACGACAGTATCCGGCCCTCCCCCTATTGACCACCGGGCTCACCAGGACTTGCTCCGCCGGGTGGCCCTTAATTTGGGTCTACAAGCAGAGGAGACGGTTGAGCAGGAGGATCCGATGGTGGACATTCTGAGCCCAGAGGGTCCCTCCAGGATCGCGCTCCCGCTTATAAAAACGGTCCAGGCAAACTATAAGACCGTATGGCAAACGCCAGCCTCCTCCGCGCCAACCGCAAAAGGCGTAGAACGGAAGTACTTCGCCCCGTCCAAAGGGTTTGACTTTCTCTTCTCCCACCCGGCCCCATGTTCGCTGGTCGTCTCGGCATGGCTACTCTCTGGCTAAGTGGGGTGGAGCACAGGTGTTCACACGAGGTTCAGCAAATCCTACTTGGTAGTAGGAAACCCTCCACGAGGGCAGCCTACCTGGCTAAGTGGAAGCGCTTCTCCTTGTGGTGTGCGCCTCACCACTCGCAGCCTTTACAGGCCTCGATACCTCTGATCCTCGACTACTTGCTGCACCTCAAGCGTCAAGGCCTCGCCCCCGCTTCTATTAAGGTGCATCTGGCCGCCATTTCGGCGTTCCACCCTGGAGAATCGGGCAGATCCGTATTCTCCAACCCCACGGTGGTCCGTTTCCTCAAGGGTCTGGAGCGGGTGTTTCCCTACTCGCGCCCTCCTATTCCCCCGTGGAACCTCAATCTGGTTCTCACAAAACTTATGGGGCCGCCCTTTGAACCCCTGGCCTCTTGCTCCCTCACGCACCTTTCGTGGAAGGTCGCGTTCCTTGTGGCCATTACCTCGGCTAGGAGAGTGTCCGAGTTGAGGGCCCTCACCTCGGAGCCCCCTTATACCATCTTTTACAAAGACAAGGTGCAGCTTAGGCCTCACCCTAAATTCCTCCCGAAGGTGGTTTCGAATTTTCACATGGGTCAGGACATTTGTTTACCAGTATTCTTCCCTAAGCCCCATACGGACCCGAGCCATCGCAGCCTGCACACCCTGGATGTTCGGCGGGCATTGGCCTTTTATCTGGACCGTACCCGACCTTTCCGTAAGTCGTCTCAGCTGTTCGTGGCCATTGCGGAGCGCATGAAGGGCCAACCGATTTCTACGCAACGCCTGTCGGCGTGGATAGTGCACTGCATACGTACATGCTACGAGCTCGCCAACACGCCTGCTCCTCAGATCAGGGCTCACTCCACTAGAGCCCAGGCGTCCTCGACGGCCTTCTTGGCACAGGTCCCGCTCCAGGAGATCTGCAAGGCAGCCACCTGGTCGTCGGTGCATACCTTCACAGCACACTACGCGATCCACCATCAGACTAGAGATGATGCAGTGGTCGGCAAGGCGGTGCTGCAATCAATTATTCCTTGACTCCTACCCTCCTCCAACGGTAAGCTTGCGAGTCACCTAATGTGGAATGGACGTGAACAAGCACTCGAAGAAGAAAAGACGGTTACTTACCTTCTGTAACTGTTGTTCTTCGAGATGTGTTGTTCACGTCCATTCCACTTCCCACCCTCCTTCCCCTCTGTCGGAGTCACCGGCAAGAAGGAACTGAGGGAGGGTCGGGCCTGCAGGGATATATATACGCGAGGGCGGGGCGCCGCTCTGGCGGGAAGGGGGACCCTGCGGGCCCGACGGGAGCCGCTGAGGGAAAAAAGTTCCGACGATTCGTGCACGCGGCGCGCGCACACCTAATGTGGAATGGACGTGAACAACACATCTCGAAGAACAACAGTTACAGAAGGTAAGTAACCGTCTTTTTCCCCCATAAGAATTAATGTAAATGAGGGGGTTAAGTTCCAGGGAATTCTTTTTGCACCAGACAAAAGACTATATTATATACACACCTCTACCCCGATATAACGCTGTCCTCGGGAGCCAAGAAATCTTACCGCGTTATAGGTGAAACCGCGTTATCAAACTTGCTTTGATCCGCCGGAGCCCCCCAAAAACCCACTCTCTCCCCCCACATACACACAACACACTCAGTCACACTCCACCCCACCCCCCTCATTTGAAAAGCACGTTGCAGCCAATTGCATGCTGGGATAGCTCCCACAATGCACTGCTCTCTGTGACCGTTGCAAGAGCTGTTAATGTGGCCATGCCAGTGCGCTTGCAGCTCAGTGTGGACAGACTGCAGCGCTTTCCCTACTGTGCTCTACGAAGGCCGGTTTAACTCAAAGCGCTCTACATCTACAAGTGTAGCCATGCCCAGAGGCAGGGTGTGTGTGTGTGTGTGTGTGTGTGTGTGTGTGTGTGTGAGAGAGAGAGCCTAGGGAGGGAGACGGGGCTGATGTCGGGGTTTCCTCCTCCCCCTGCCTCAGGACTGGTTGCTTCCTGCCACTGTCTGACCAAGACAGCGTGTTGACACACTCTGTCCCCCAAAACACTGTCTTCCCCCCCCATACACACACACTCCGTCACACACTCTGCCCCCCCACACCACTTCAGTTGAAAAGCAGCTGGCAATGTAGTAGGATGCCAATGGAACAATGGGATTGGGAAGCCTGCATCATGTGATGCTGTGCCTGCCCCATGAGGCATTGCAAACCATTCCCAAAGCACCCTGCGGCCAGTTGCACAGTGGGATAGCTACCACAATGCACTTCTGTCTTTGCCACTGCAAGAGCTGCTAATGTGGATGCGCTCCAGTGTCACAAGGAGCACAGTGTGGACACGCAACAGCAATTTAATTCCAGTGTTTTAATAAAAGTGGTATAATTTGTGGCACAGAAACTTGCCAGTGTAGATGTACCCAGAGTTAACTTATGCTAAGTAACCTATTAAGCAGTTGCCCTGATCAGGTGAATAATTAAATTAAGTGGTTGGTAATGATGACTATAAACTACATCAGCGTTTTTCAGTGTTTTCGGGTTGCGACCCAGTACTGGGTCGCGGCATGTCAGGCATTGGGTTCCTCTGGTCAGCACCACTGACCAGGACGTTAAAAATCCCATCGGCAGTGCTACCCAGCTAAGGCAGGCTAGTTCCTACTTGTTTTGACACCGCGCCGCACCCCGGAAGCAGCCAGCAGTGGGTCTGGCTTCTAAGCAGGGGGGCCCCAGGGCTCCGCGCGCTGCCCCGCCCCGAGCACCGGCTCCACACTCCAGATTGGGGGGGCGCCTCCGCTTAAGAACCAGACCTGCTGCTGGTTGCTTCCGGGGTGCAACACAGCCTGTGGTGCCAGGACTGGCAGGAAGCCTGCCTTTGCACCCCGGCTGTGCCGCTGACCGGGAACCACCAGAGAGAAGTCCGTGCCCCAACCCCATGCCCCAATCCCCAGCCCTGAGCCCCCCCAAACCTTGAACCCCTTCCTGCACCCCAAACCCCTCATCCCTGGCCCCACTCCAGAGCCTGCACCTCCAGTCCAGAGCCCTGACCCCTTCCCAAACCCCTGCCCCAGCCCTGAGCCTCCCCAAACCCGGAGCCCTTCCTGCACCCCAAACCCCTCATCCCCAGCCCAGAGCCCTGACCACCTCCCACACCCCAACCCCCTGCCCCAGGCCAGAGCCCCCTCCCACACCCTGAACCCCTCATCCCTGGTCCCACCTCAGAGCCCTGAGCCCCTCCTACACCCCAAACCCCTCATCCCCAGCTTCAACTAGGTCCCCAGAAAAAAAGTTTGAAAACCACTGAACTACATGATGCGTGAGGTAAATGCATGTACCTTGTGCTATCCACACCATTTCACTGATGTCTGATTACTCCAAAAGTTTTGGATCAGGGTTTTGCTGTCTTAAAAAGTCCTTTCTGTTGTAAACTTCTGTATGTTTAAAAAGAACATCCAAGATAAGCACGTGACCTCCCAGTGTTACTGCCAAGAACTGATTGATGTGTCGGTGCATGTGTGCATTAGGTCAAAGTCTCCAAACATCCTGCCAAACATTCTGAAGAAAATCGGTGATACTCCTCTGGTACAAATCAACAAGATCGGAAAGTTCTTTGGACTCAAGTGTGAACTCTGTGAGTACCTGCTGCAGACAGAAGTTAGAGATGTATCTTCAGATGTTGTGGTAGAGGTGTATCTTCAGAAATCTGGATCACCCTATTTAACGGTGTTCATGAGAGCTGGTTGGGAAATGCTTTTTGTTCCTGTGAAGAGGTTGACAAAAATGAATGTTTTTCAGTTGCAAAAAGAAAGAAAATGCTTCAGTTTTTGGGTTTCTGTGTTTTGATTACCTCTACCTCCTCTTCCGCCCCCTCTCGTGCACATAAACAAACAAAAAGCAAACCACACACGCTACACATCAAAAATGGACATTTTCCGATGACATTTCCCTTTTGATTAAAAAGCCATTTTTGGTCAAAAAAGTTTCAAATGAAACTTTCAACCAGCTCTCGGTGTTGCCACTGGGCCCTTCGGAATGAGGCTGCAGAATAGTCCCCAAAGAGCAGTGCAAATGATGAAATGGTTGTAGCAACTGACTTTTTAGGAAAGATTTAAAAGAACAGACTACAGTCTACGTAGCTTAACTAAACAATGATTGCTGCATGGTAATAGTGTAAATGTACGTGGAGGGGATCCTCACAGAAGACAATTAAGAGATTCTGTTTACTGTTGTCCAAAGGGCTGACACTTGGAGACATGCGATAAAATGAAAGCGTGGACTTCTTAACAGTTAGATCAAGCTCCCAAGAGGTGGAAAATTCAGTAGGGAACAATTGGCAAGGGAATGGCCATTTTAAAAAATTCCACCTGGTACTGGTAGAGCACCCTAACCTGTCCTCACTCCCCCTCTCCTGAGTTGAGCTACACATGGGCTTTTAATGCTCTCTGATCCTCTGCCCCGGTGTAACAAGCAGAGAAAAGAGGGAAAAAAGGAGAGACCCACTGATTAAGACGAAACTGACATGGTGTGGAGCTGCTTGTTCCTGTGGCCAGCTGTGAAATGTGCCAAGAACTTTATCAAATTGGCCAAAGACACTGGAAATGCTGACTTCTCCACTGTACTGTGGGCTGCTTTTCCCTTTGTCTTGTTGGGAGGTGGGGGGTGTTTAACTGGGAAAAAATGATCTTAGCTGGAGTGGTTTTGGATCTCAGTAAGGAGTCAGAATTCCTCTGGTGAATGCTGTAGTGCCTTTTTTTTAACACACATTTGTTTGACTATTTTGTTTCCAGTGGCAAAGTGTGAGTACTTCAATGCTGGGGGGAGCGTGAAGGATCGAATTAGCCTGAGGATGGTGGAGGATGCAGAAAGAGCTGGGATTTTGAAACATGGGGACACGATCATTGAGCCAACATCAGGAAACACAGGTAGGAATTTCTAGGTCACAGTGAGATTGCTAAGCAACTGTGGGATCGTGGTCTGAAGGCTTCCATGGAACAGGTGGGAGAGGGGTTGGAGCAGAGACAGCTGCTCATTCAAAAGAGAAAATGCATCCTTGCCTGACAGGAGGAGAAAACCTCACAGAAGTTCTGCTCCCAGCTCAGGGTCCATCTGAGGAAGGAAAATATGATGCTTGATGCTGCTCAGGGACTACTGCTTTCTTTTATGTATATAGAAGTTAGTATCTGAGCACCCCACAATTATTAGAGGACTTTGTTGTCCTCACTATACCCACGTCAGGTTGGGAAGTATTTTCTCCATTGTCCAGAGCAGATTATAAGTGACTTTCCAAAAGTCACATGAGGCTGAGCTGGGAATCAAACTCAGGTCTACTAAATGTCAGTCCAGCACCCTATCCACTAGACCATCTTTTGTACCCCTTACTCTGTAGGAATAGATCAGTAGTCCAGCATCCTGTCTCAGATAGTGGCTGATGCTGGATGCTTCAGAGGAAGGTATAATCTCCAAGTTATTCAGTGACTGAGATGGAGCAGACTAGTTGATGAGAGCAGTCTGGAATTCATTTTCAGCTTCTGCTCTGAAGCACAAGGATTGCTAGCTCTTGTATCTTTATTCTACAATCTTGTATCCAACTGAAACTGCAGAGAGGATGTGGGGGGGCAGGATGAATTGGCTCCTGGCCCATGAGTGGGGCTTGTAGACATTACTGTAACACATAATAGAGTACCCAAAGCTGGAATTTGCCCAGGACATCCATGGGTTGTGCTTGTGGAAAGAGCCATGTGCATCCAAGTGGTGAGGTGCTTAGCTGTACAATTTGCCCGAATGACTTCAGGTAGTACAGAGCATTATAGTGAGGCACCAGTTCTGCGGTGAACCTATTGACTAGCCAACACCGCGTCCTGCAGCACGTAGCTGTTCTTCAGAGGTGTCCCATCTGAATGCTGACACAGCTGGACCCTGCTTAGCTTGCAAGAGCTGCTGATAGCTCAGCGCAAGTTAATTTCGTACAGCTCTGCGGCACAAGCAAGAGTGAGGTCTGGAAAGCAGGAAAAAGAATAGCTTTAAGGTTAGAGCCTTTGGTAGTCACATGACATCCTAGCAGAAACACTGGGTGACTATCTAGATACAGCTCTGTTTTCAGCACTCACCCTTTGAAGGCTGGAACTGCAGTCTGAATTCCACTTTTGAGACCTACGAGTTTGGATCTGTATTTTGCATGCCTCTGACTCCTTACCTGTGGTGACACGGCTGGCTGTAGCTGACACGGTGTTCTGTCACACTAACAGGACTAGGTCTCTTAAATCAGAATGTCCCTCTTGCCATGGGATCTATGGGGTAGAATGGCAGAGACCGTGAGGAATGTGTAGGGTAAAGGACTTCTCCTCCCTGTGAAGACTGTCTTGTTTTACTAAAGGTCATGAAGAATGGAGGCAAGGCCTAGGTAGGCAGCTGTGATGCTCCCCAGGGGTAACTAGGGTTTTGAGGCACATCACCACCACCTGTCCTAGAGTGAGGGAGTCTTGTCAGTGCCTGCTGTGGATCAGCTCCTGAAACCAGCAACCTGTGACAGCACAAGCACTGCCTTCCAGGCCTCTTCAGGCCTCTCACTGTCTGTTCCGGTAGAAATAGACACACACGAACTCCCAAGCCCTCTCCGAGCATTCCTTGTCGTATCCAGCCCCTTATCCCCTGAACACTCACAGAAATAGCAGGTCTAGAGGATTCAAGTGATAGTGAGTAAGGATACTGGAAATGAATGGTTACATATAAACCGAAATCATAGCACACTTTCTAGAGAGTAAACAGGTTAACCTCTGGTCTACAGAAGCTTATCTCACCCAGAGTCCTCTACAGCGTTTTCAGTCAAGCTTGGTTGAGACCCCTTTTTCAGAAAGCAAAAGTGCTGTCCTCTTACTTCCTCAGTGAAGGATGTCTGGGTGTTCCAGTTGCCCCCTTCCCAGATATACCCAAGTAAACCTTTGTTATGCACCTCCAGATAAGATTCTCTGCCTCTGCTGTGTTTCTCTTCCTGTTAGTTCTTTTTTACAATCCTTCCTTTGCATTCAGTTCTGACTGGTGATAGGGGAACCGTTGTGAACGAGACGATACTCAATTTATGTGAGACTAGACAGATCAGAGACATCTCCTGTTCGACAGAAAACCAGCTTTTCACCAGCCTTGATACAGACTTTAAGAACATATGTTCAGTATACATACATAACTCCTTACATAGTATCTGTACATGTATTTCACAGGGATATTTGTGACCAGTGTGACACCAACTTTCATTTGAGACCTGACATGACATTCTTTGGTGAACCAGAATGTACATCCCAGAATCAGGGTAACCTCCCTGCACCTCATTTCTGGTTGGCATCAAGAGGGTTCTTGGGTCACAGCAGCACAGGGAATTGCCGGTCACTCCTGGCCTCTGCCCATAGCTAATTTCTCTAAGAAGGGATAGGATTACTCCTCTCCCCTACACCGCACTTCCGCTGCACCTGGCTCCCTAGTTTGACATTTGCAGCACTTTCATGTTAATCTCTTAAGTGTAGGGTAATAGAGTTTGGGGTTTAGAATGTCTTTCTGGTTGTCAGTGTTGGTCAGATTTTACCTCAGTATCGGGCGTTAGTGAGACCATGGTTGGAATACAGTGTCCTGTTGTGGTGTCATCACTTCAGAATGGATGTTGACGAGCTGGTTGCGAATTTTTCAATGAAACGTATTTTCATCAGAAAACTGATTTCTCAAAACCAAACTTTTTTGAAGTGTATGTCTCAACAAAAATTCCTCAGAGAAACCCACCCCAGAATACCTAATGGCTACTGATTCAGAGTAGGGGCTTGAACCTGGATCTCCCACATCCCAGGCAAGTGTTCTAACCACCAGGCTCTCTGGCACAATGTATATTTAATTATTTATACGAGGTGGAACAGTTCCAACATGAGAGAGCAAGAAGACTTCCCCGGTGAGTGCTCTGACCACTGGGCAATTGGTTATTGTGAGGTGGCTCTTTTTAATGGAGCGGGAGGGGGTGGGGAATTCAAAGGGTCTCAGTTTTTTGCTCTGATATGGAAAGAAAACAAATTCCAAAACCTTGACGTTGTGCATGAAATGGAGTTGTAATTTTCTGGCCAGCCCTATCTGATACATTGGAAAGGGTTCAGAAGAGAGCTACAGGAAATGATTCAAGGACTGGAAAACATGCCTTAAGGTGAGAGAGAAAAACTAACAGGTTGAGCTTCATTTATCCAAGAGAAGGTTGAGAGGTGACTTGATAGCAGCCTTCAACTACCTGAAGGGGGCTTCCAAAGAGGATGGAGCTCGACTGTTCTCAGTGGTGGCATATGACAGAACAAGGAGCAATGGTCTCAAGTTGCAGTGGGGGAGGTCTCGGTTGGATATTAGGAAACACTGTTTCACTAGGAGGGTGGTGAAGCACTGGAATGGGTTACATAGGGAGGTAGTGGAATCTCCATCCTTAGAGGTTTTTAAGGCCCAGCTTGACAAAGCCTTGGCTGGGATGATTTACTTGGTGTGGGTCCTGCTTTGAGCAGGGGATTGGACTAGATGACCTCCTGAGGTCTCTTCCAACCCTAATAATCTATGATCCCAATCTACAAGTACCTACCTGAGGAAGAGATCTGTGAACAGATATTTAATTGAGCAGTCAAAGGCATAACAAGGTCCAGTGGTTGAAAGCTGAAACTAGATAAATTCAGCCTTGAAAAAAGGTGCAAATTTTTACCTTCTGTTAGAATTATCCTCACTTATGGGCTTGATGTAGAAATTATTGAGTGAGGTTCTACAGCCTGTGTTATGCAGGAGGTCAGACTAGATTATTTTAATGGTGCCTTCTGGCTTTAATCTATGAAATTCTATTCACTCCCAAACTACATCTGTAACATGTGGGCAGAGGTGGGGCAGAAGAAAAACTAGGCTGGGAAACCCAGCAACATGAACTTGCAAATTTCCCTGTCTTTGCTCGCCTTGTTGATGGCTCTGGTCTGGGGTTGAGCCAAATGGTGCCTTTAAAGCAGACCGTCCTGCTCTCCAATTATCTTGGAGATCAGCAACCTTTTCCTTTTTAGTCTCTGCAGTGATACCCCATTCAAGCCTGCAGAGAACAGCTCTTAAAACTGGGACATGCAGAAGCTACCACTGTGGTTTTGTTTCTCTTACAACATACTCTGTATTTCTCCGCTTCCAGGAATTGGGCTGGCCCTGGCTGCTGCAGTGAAAGGCTACCGCTGCATCATTGTGATGCCAGAGAAAATGAGCATGGAGAAGGTCAGAACTACTTGTATTGCCAATAATTAAAAATAAATTTGTCCAAATATGTTCAGATCCTAATGAGAGGAGGATGCCATCGTTTTGGCTGTGAAATTGGATAGTGAGGCACTGCAAACAAATTTACCATGTGTCAGATATTTTTAAATAATTGGTCAGAGTATATGTGTAAACTTGGAGGAGGGGGAAGGGCAGAGGGGGTTGCTGTCAATGTTGAAGGGGAATATTGGTAGGCCAGTCACAAAGCAAAAAGGCAGACGTTATAGAGGTGAAGCTGCCAGTAGCTGTAGCACCACTGAGTGTAGGAATTTTTAAAGTATTCATGTCAGTGACAAGAAAGACTTTAAGTGCGAGCAGAAAATTGAAGTGATACTTAATCTATGGAAAGACTGTCATTGAATGGAGGGTCTGAGAGAAGCCAGTGGAGACAGCTGAAGAACTGGATGCTTTAACATCATGTTCTATGTAGAGTGGTGAGACCGGAGAGAGGGTGCTACATTGCAGTGTATTGTTTCAGATTACACTGGTCTACAGTTTTTGAGACGTCGTCTGCTTCAGAGATAAAATGTGCTATTTATTATGTATTTTGATGTGCTGAATTCAAATATGACAATTAAAATAACTGGCTACTGTTTCTAAGATATTTAAGTTTTTACATTTTATGTCTATGTATATTGTGTAGCTAGTAGAGTTTTAATCATAAATTGTAAACCTAGGTCTTTTCATGTGTTTATGGTTGCGTTACATGATATTTCACCTGTCCTGTTTATGTAACACTTTAAAAATCAGCAAAAGGGTTATATAAATAAAACTTATTATGAAACAAAAGGCAAAAAAACTATTCTGTACATAGTTTAGTCCTATTCAGTGTCTACTCGGCGCTTCTTGGCTTGTCTCTTGTATTCATTAAATGGAGCATCTTTTGTCACTGTCCAGCAATAGTCTGCAAGCATTGATGGGCTCCATTTGCCCTGATAGCGTTTCTCCATTGTTGCAATGTCCTGGTGAAATCGCTCGTCGCTCACTGCTCCAAAGTTTGGTGGAAACAAATCTAGATGAGAGTGCAAAAAATGTATCTTTAGTGACATGTTGCAACCAAGGCTTTTGTATGCCTGTAGTTGTCTGTCTTGTTGTTTCCAAGAAAATTTATTGCCACTAACTGGAAGGCTTTCCATGCCGTCTTTTCCTTGCCACGCAGTGCATGGTCAAATGCATCATCTCGAAGAAGTTCACGAATCTGAGGACCAACAAAGACACCTTCCTTTATCTTAGCTTCACTTACCCTTGGAAATTTTCCACGGAGGTACTTGAAAGCTGCTTGTTTTGTCAATGGCCTTGACAAAGTTCTTCATCAGAGCCAACTTGATGTGTAAGGGTGGTAACAAAATCTTCCTTGATTCAACAAGTGGTGGATGCTGAACACTTTTCCTCCCAGGCTCCAGTGACTGTCGGAGTGGCCAGTCTTTCTTGATGTAGTGGGAATCTCTTGCACGACTATCCCATTCGCAGAGAAAACAGCAGTACTTTGTGTATCCAGTCTGCAGACCAAGCAAGAGAGCAACAACCTTCAAATCGCCACAAAGCTGCCACTGATGTTGGTCATAGTTTATGCACCTCAAAAGTTGTTTCATGTTGTCCTAGGTTTCCTTCATATGGACTGCATGACCAACTGGAATTGATGGCAAAACATTGCCATTATGCAGTAAAACAGCTTTAAGACTCGTCTTCGATGAATCAATGAACAGTCTCCACTCATCTGGATCGTGAACGATGTTGAGGGCTGCCATCACACCATCCATGTTGTTGCAGGCTACAAGATCACCTTCCATGAAGAAGAATGGGACAAGATCCTTTTGACGGTCACGGAACATGGAAACCCTAACATCACCTGCCAGGAGATTCCACTGCTGTAGTCTGGAGCCCAACAGCTCTGCCTTACTCTTGGGTAGTTCCAAATCCCTGACAAGGTCATTCAGTTCACCTTGTGTTATGAGGTGTGGTTCAGAGGAGGAGGATGGGAGAAAATGTGGGTCCTGACACATTGATGGTTCAGGACCAGAAGTTTCATCCTCTTCCTCTTCCTCGTCTGACTCAAGTGAGAATGATTCTGGTGCATCAGGAACCGGCAGTCCTTCTCCGTGGGGTACTGGGCGTATAGCTGATGGAATGTTTGGATCATGCACAGTCCACTTTTTCTTCTTTGACACACCTTTCCCAACTGGAGGCACCATGCAGAAGTAACAATTGCTGGTATGATCTGTTGGCTCTCTCCAAATCATTGGCACTGCAAAAGGCATAGATTTCCTTTTCCTGTTCAACCACTGGCGAAGATTTGTTGCACAAGTGTTGCAGCATATGTGTGGGGCCCACCTCTTGTCCTGATCTCCAATTTTGCAGCCAAAATAAAGGTGAGAGGCTTTCTTAACCATAGTGGTTATACTGCGCTTTTGTGATGCAAAAGTCACTTCACCACAAACATAGCAGAAGTTATCTGCACTGTTCACACAAGTACGAGGCATCTCTGCTCACTTTGGCTAAACAGAAATGGGTCCCTTTGCAAAATCAAACACTGACAAATAAGAGAGCACGACACTGTATGATTTCTAGAGCTGATATAGGGCAATTTGTTCAGCAGAGTGATGTAAGCTTCGTTATGATTGCATCATCCATGACTTCTAGGAATAACATGATGCAATTCATATCATGTATGACGCAATACCAGCTTCAGATTGCATCATTCATTGTTTTGCCTAAAAAGCAAGTACTGTCCAAACCCAGTCATAGATTTATTCATAGATCCAGTCAAAGATGTATTTTAGTCATTTCTGGTTTAAATTGAGATCCCTTCCCTCTATAACTCACTTATCCTCCGCCATTCCCAAGTCAAGGGTCGTATATACTGACCCAATAGCATATCTTGAAAACTAGAGCCAATCAACAATTTTAAGCATCATTTTCGTTCTCAGTGACCCAGAATTAGTAAAGTTTGACTACATTTATTTCAGAAGCATTTTGGCTGTAGAGCAGTGTTACACAGTGGGAAGTGATGGCAAGTGGCTACAAAGCAAATATGTTCTTTCCTCAGCTTAAGGAAATTTGGATCCATATGTGCTGAGGAAGCTTTAACGACAAAGGGGAATAGATCAATATGGAATCCTTCACTGTAGCAGCAGTGGAAAAAAATAAGTTTCTAGCCTTCATGACTTCAGTCTTGCTGCGCTTGATCCCAATCCTGCACCGCTCACTTGGGTAGAACTCCCACTGAAGTCAGAGGGAGGTTGGCCTGAGTAAGGATGGCGGGATCAAGCCTCTGCTCCTTTGATTTCAATTTTTAGGTATCCATTTGGAAGAGAAAATTCAGAGCAGCACATAACCTCGCCATGGGAATAAGATGATCTTGGTCTAGGTAGTTCCCTTACACCAGTGCTAGGCTGGATGGCAAAGAAAACAATGCTGAGTGTTCATGATTAAGCTCTAGGCACTATGCACAGGCTTCTTGGTGTGTTAATTTTTGTTCTTACAGCCTACATTTCACTCTTTGAACCAACAAGCATTAGGGCCCTCCTGTGTGGAGGCATCAGGTTATGCATTGACACAGCTGTTTTAAGAATTTTCCATTCCCAAGTCTTGGGTGTGTGAAATCTTCGCAGCTGTTGCGCCCAGGCAGGCCTAGGGGTACAAAACCACTACGTAGCCGGAAGAGGTACCTGAACATTACAACTGATACATTTAAATAGTGCCTTTCACACAGAGATCCCAAAGTGCCCAACCAACTTCACAGATGAGAACTGCTTTCCCCATTGTTATAATTCAGCCAACTCGAGGGCTTGAGATGGTGTAAGTAGCTTAAAATCTGCCTATATTTCCTATATTTTACAACAATCAAGAACAAGTGAAGAAAAAAATTTGGCCCACCTAAAACTACAGTAACTGTAGTAGAAGACAAAACTGAAGTGGAACTAAGCGAGGCCATTGGAACTAACATCACTACTCTTGACGAAAACGACATGAGATTTTTAATGACCACAAATGATTAGGACCTCTGTTTTCAATGTCCTCTGAAAAGACAGTGACTCCAGCAGGAGAGGTGCCCTCTGGTACTCTGCTGGCACATGAGCAAAGTTTGGACGTGAAAGGAAGAGTGCTACATGCTGAATTGCCCACACCACATCCTGCAGCACCTGGATCTGCCCTGGAGGCCTGTTGCTTAAACACTGACTACACCCAACCCTCCTTAGCTAATGACTTTTTCAAATGATCACACTTCTCGTGGTATGACTGCAAGCATAAGGGGATGCTTATGTTAAGGGTTCTACCACTTTGCTATCTAAGTGGAGGTGTACTGCATAATATGTTGAAATCACTGCACTTATTTTTAACATATTTATTATGGTGCTGTCTGTGAGCCAACCAAGAGTGGGTCCTAGTGCGCAAGGCACTGTACAAATCATTGGAAATAAAATGGTGGTTCTAGGCTATGGCACTGGGAGTCTTGGGTGTGTCTTTACTAGTCTGTAAGGTAGCTGGTGTGTACATGTTTTTAATACTTTGCACTGAGTAACACCTCACTACACACTCAATAAAGGTATGTAGAAATGTGAGAGTCCTAGATTCATACTCCAGACAAGCAGACTGTAGCCAAATGCTCCTTTCTTATTTGCCATTGAATGTTACGTTTTCAGGTCAAATCCATCATGTAGCTTTCAAAACATGAGTTGTGGGAATGGGACAGTGTTGCTTGGCCGTGTTGATAAGAATTATTTTAGCTCTGTAATTCCTCCGGCAGAACTGATTAGATTTTGCGGGGAAGGGGGGATCTTCAACTAGGTTGAGCTGAAAATGCAGGTTACAAACTAGTGACAAATGTATGTCCTTGTAGGCAAACAACAATGATCATACGTTTCAGGCCACTAGACATTTAAAAAACCGAGACACAGAGGACAGTGTTTAACCTGTATGGGGCATCTGTTCTGAAACACTTTGCTTCTGGGGATTGAATTGATACAGACTTTAAGCAGTGGGTATGGAAGAGATGCGCACACTTGTTTATATAAAGTTTTATAGTTGGTTTTTTTCATCCTCTGGCATACCAGTAGGGTCTCTGTGCCTATGGAGATTTTTGACTCTGTTTGATTCAGGTGGATGTTCTGAGAGCTCTTGGCGCTGAGATTGTGAGGACCCCAACTACTGCCAGATTTGACTCGCCTGAATCTCATGTGGGAGTAGCATGGCAACTGAAAAATGAAATCCCCAATTCCCATATCCTAGACCAGGTAAGGTCCTGAACAACTGAGGTGCATATGTGGGATAGAGAGAAATATTGGTAATGTCCTTTTCCTGCACTCCACAGATAAGAGTAACAGCAGCCCGGATTGAGGGTACGTGTAGATTGAACCTGGGATCTCTGGATCTAAAAGTATGAATTGCTGTTGCCTTACCAGGTTCCGTAGCTCAACAAAAGTAGCAGATCACAAATGTCTAAATGTGGCTGTGCCACTAGAGTGGCACAAAAAGCCCAGGGTGAACTGGCTTTTCAAATTGAAGCAATTTAAATCAACAATTTTAATCATGATTTAAATCAGCAAACCAGAAATACTGATTTAAATCCTTAGTTTGAATCTTGTTTTGTAGTTGTACTTTTTGGTTATTTTCCTAAAGAAAAATTGATTCTCACTAGTTGGTGGCCATTAAAATATGTTGGTTTACAATTAAATATAGCTTTTGCACTAAACTTGGGTCTTCTTTTTACTAACTAGGACAATATACTATAATTGCTTAATAATTGTGCATAACTTAACGTACTTTCAGATGCTTAATTTTTACATTTTGTTTATTATGTTATGGAATGATGCATTTCTTATTTACTAGATTAACTTTTACCTGTGATTTGTGTCGAGCTCTATTTGGATGGAAATTGGAATTGAATTAAAAATGTGCAAAATAGCATTTGTTTTGTTAGTTAAATAAACCTACTTTATATGTGCTGGATACATAAGAAAAAATTGTAAAATATGGTTTGCATTTACAACTAACTGATTTTATTAAACAAGGGAAGTATCTGTAGTTAGTGAATTGAACTGATTGTTTCTGGTCACCATATCCCTCAAGATTTTAGAAGTAGTAAATCTCGTTTTCTCACACCTAGTTTTTATTCATTGATCAGAAGAGGAAAACAAACATTTCTGCTTTTTCAGCTCCAAGTCAGTTTCTAAACTTTAAATGAATTAGTCAGTGAACTGAACTAGTTGAATAAACTGAAATGAAGAAAATACTCTTGTACCCGTAGAAGAGGCCACTGCTATCAAAAGCTGATTTAGCACTTCAAACTCTGGTTTCTGGTGCTTGCCAAGTGACTTCCACTAGTTCAGTGGTTTGACTTTCTTTAAAACTTTGGCAGCAACCATATACTGCTTAATATTACATTTCTAATTTATTTCAAGTGATATTGATAATTATAGTAAGTTTAGGCCTTAACATAAGTTGTCATAATTTCAAATGTTTATTTAAAAAGAAAGATTTAATTTAAATCTGATTTTAAATAAAAATATACATAATTTTAATATATATCTATTCTTATCCACCCTGAAAGAACCACCCTGTGTTAGCATAGGTTACAGAAAGACCAAGGTAATGTTCTCTGCTAGGTTGGCAATTCTGCATATCGGAGTTGTAGAAAGTTCAAACTTCTACAGAAGATAATCCCACAGGCAGATTGCCCTTGGCTTTCAGGGATGTTGGGGACCTTAGCACAAAAATACCACTTGCTTTAATTGGAGCAGTTGCAGGAATCTCTTCCAGGCCAAGGTAGAAAGTATTGGTAAATGGCTGAACAATTTAGAAACTGGTGGGGCCTATAGTGTTGTTGTGGGGCTTGAACAAAACTGGTCATTTTTTTTTGACCTGCTCCTCAGGATTTGATTTTGATGAGCTGTTTCCATGGTTCAATATGTTTTCCATTGTATTTCAATCTAGTACCGCAACGCCAGTAACCCCTTGGCACACTATGACACTACAGCAGAGGAGATCCTGCAGCAGTGTGAAGGTACGCTAATTCTTCTGCTAGCACTCTTTTGAATTAACCTCTGGAGTGCTCTTGTTTTAATCACATCCCCCTGTGGAAAGCAGATCAAGGCTCTCAGGGGTATAGAATTGCAGAGGCTCTGAGATAGTTTATGTAATTCAAATGAGACCCATCTAGTTAGAAGTGTGGGATTTTTAAAAAATATTTTTTTAAAAAACCTTTTGCTTTTACCTTTCTATGACTGTGACCGGCCAGGCAAAGTGATGACCCCTAGATAAAGAAGTCTGCATAGCTCAGAGGAGTCGAAGAGCTAGGGAGTTTGAGTATTCATGAATGGGAAGTGGTTTTTAAAAAGGCTTGACTCTTAGTTCTTAATCTAAACTGAGCATGTGAGTTTTTATTGATCCTTTTTTTATTTCTTTCATTTAAATGCAATTTAATTTAATACTAAAACTCTATGTGTAAGGTCCACTTACCCCATCACAAGACATTCCTCAATTGGTGGTATCCTCAGGAGTACACATAGTTTAGGAGCCAAGCTTTTCCGTAAGGATATGATTGTGTCAATGATCACCACTGTCACGAACCAGGAATTTTGCCATTTATGTGGACCCAGTTGCCGTGCATTAACAGTACGGTAGTTCACTTGGATCTAGTCCCATTTCAAAGAGGACTAAATCAAAATGAGCTAACAGACTGTTAATGCGCAGCAACGCGGTCCACAAGGTTACCATGACCTGAGCATGACATTATTTATTTTCCTGTCACAGTGCCAGGAATTATGCATGATTTTACCATGGCATAATTGTATTCATACTTACCAGTAAGTTGTGTTTGGAGCCAGCAGAGGGAGCTTGCACATCACGTTTCTTGGTCTGTGCCATAAAACCTCATATTTAGCTTCTCAGTGGGATTTCTGTATTTAAAGTAACAAAGCCCTATATTAGATTTAGATAGTGACGATGACCTGCATGTAAAGTGCAGTTATATAATGAGTTTTTGTTTGTCTATGCATGCTTTCCATGTCAGACTTCCTCAGTTTACAAGCGCAAAGGTGGTTTTACTATCACTGAAGCCTCATTTTGATCTCAGACCCCATCTTGACTCTCAATCCATCTTGTAAAGTCAATGGGCCTTATTCTGATCTCACTGTCACAGGTGTAAGTCTGATGTCATTGCTTCAGTCAATGAAATTACACCTGTGTGAGATCAGAATCAAGCCCTATTTCTTGGGATGTTTTTGATTTGTAAGCAACACTTTTTATAGAAGTGCCCAGGAGTTAGTGAAGTGCTCTTTTATTTCTGGTAATAAATCATTTAAAGACAATCAGATAAAATAATTGTTGGCCAAGTCCTGATTATTCTATTAATGCACAAAAAGAGCTAGAATAAGGACAGATCAACATCTACCACCAAACATCATAAAACAAATCCACAGATGGCAAATAAGACACACACACCCCTCAGCCCTTCTCCAAAGCCTTGAAAACATGGGTGTTGCAGAATGCCCAAAAGGCTGTCACAAAGCTGGGCCCTGTTGGACTAAACGAGGGGGAGAAGGGGGAACAAGGGCTGAAGTTAGGTCTCTGAATACACCTGCTGTGAGGTAAATGGCTACTTTACATTGTCACCTTTCTGACATTAACTGCGCTTTCATTGGAGAGAGACATGCATCTTGTGCATTCCTAATCTGCAATAAGATTTTTATCTATAATCCCAATGGATGTTTTCAAGGTGGTATTTGATTCCTTGCACTTAAAATAGGAAAAATAGACATGCTGGTGGCTGGAGCTGGTACAGGAGGCACCATTACTGGCATTGCAAGAAAGCTGAAAGAGAAATGCCCAGATTGCAAAGTAAGTGGCAAACTAAAGCATCTTAGTAACTATTTCTAGCTTAAGTGACTTGCAAAGTTCCTTGTGGGAATAAATCCCATTTTTCTCATCTTTGTTGGGGTGTTTTAATCCTCACCTGGGACACATCTGCTTGTTCTGAGCTGGGTGGTAGTTTTGAGCTGTTCACAAAAAGCATAGGAAGCTACCTCATTCTCTTTTCACGTGTGACCCAAGTCAGAGTTTGATCCTGAAAATTAAACCACAAATTCCATATGGCCCATATTGACAGTTTTGTGAGGTAACAGTCCTAACATAACACTTTGATTTAATGGCTATGTGTTGAAAAAACAAGTGCAACGGTAGCCAAATCTGAAATCCCCTTCTCCAGATTATTGGCGTCGATCCCCAGGGCTCCATTCTTGCTGAGCCTGAAGAACTGAATAAAACTGACAAGACAACATACGAGGTGGAGGGGATTGGATATGATTTTGTCCCTACAGTGCTGGACAGATCGGTAAGTCAAGCTCCTCAATTAACCACTCCTTGCCTTCCGCTCTGAGGGGGGTGGGAAGAAGTTGGAAATAGCATGGCAGCTACTGTGAGGCACCCAGAGTGTGTTTCTTTGAGATTAGAGGGGTTAGGAAGCACAACGAAAGCCTCTTCCCACTGTATCCCAGCAGGTAAAGCAGCCCCAGGTGAACGTCTGAGCTGGACACATTTCTCTCGCTCTTTCATAACACTGTGTGAAAGCATGCTGTGCAGATAGCTCTTCCCCTGAACAATCCCTTTAAATAAAACCAAAAAAAAAACCCAGCCCACAGCTTGATCTCTAGTTCAATGACATCAGGTGCGAGGTAGGACTCACTTTCCTGGCGAGTCAGCTGGGAAGAGAGGAGAATGACCAGTTCTCCTTGTAGCTTTTCCCACAGTCACCTTATTTAAAAGACAAAGTACTTTCTACTAGTATAGGGAACGTCACTAATACCACAGCAGTGTGTGTTAGGCAAAAAAAAGCAGTTGCGGGATGTGAACGCAATTGTAAGTCTCTAATTTGAAACCGCTGAACAGCATCTCCTGAAAGGGGGATACGATCAGCTAGGTCTTTTGTCTCCTTTCCCCTGCACTCTTTTAGGTGGTGGACAAGTGGTACAAGAGCAATGATGAGGAGTCTTTTTCTTTGGCACGCATGTTAATCAGAGAGGAAGGATTATTGTGTGGTAAGAGCTGGTACTAATCCTCCAAAGTTTCCTGTGAATTAGATTGCAGCATTGTGCAAATCACTTAACTTGTCAAAGGGAAACCTTGTCAGTGTTGAGATTAGAGCTCCAGAGTTCTTTTCTCCACCCCTGAGCTCGACCCACCTTTCTCTGATCTTCTCCTCCTGTTTCACAAGTGGCTTCCACGTGCAGTGGTCTTGACTGTGTGATCTGGGTGTTGACAGGTGGCAGCTCTGGCAGTGCAATGTCCATTGCTGTGAAGGCTGCCAAGGATTTGACAGAAGATCAGCGCTGTGTTGTCATCTTGCCCGACTCCGTCAGGAACTACATGTAAGAAATTGCCCCGTTCCCTTTCTGCTTCGTGCCTGCTGCCTTCACGGAGGGTGAGGCATTCATACCAAGTTTAGACAAGCTTTTCCACAGTGTCTAGTGGTTTTTGGTTCCCAACTTGAGGACTCTGGCAGGAGCCTGGTTTACAGAAGGTGGGAACTCAGCGAAAATAAAGCCCCTTTAAGGTATCTCAGGTTTGGGCATCCAGAAGTCACTGGTCACTTTGGAAAAATTCGAGTCCTGAATTTCTTTAACCATTTTAATTGGGATCTCTTCTGGGACTTTTCAAGGAATGGTTGTCCTCTACTCTCTGCCTTGTGCTATGAATTGAAGAGAATACTATTGTAATAACAGCTTATGCCGGGGGGGGGAGGGGGGAATACAGTGTTACACTTGCTCTAAGTCCTGTGGCTAAATTCACCTGACCCCACACTTAAAATACAGCTTTACTCTGCGACACTGTTCAGTTCCCCATTGTGCAGCGTGGGAGCACAAAACTGTAAACGTATTTAATTTAATACCTTCCAGCACTTCTCCTCCATTACAAGCGGTCTCATTATATAGTTGTGCCATTTCCTTTCTTCTTTTTACAAATATTCTACCCACATATCCCTTCGCCATAAAGACTGGCTGAGTGCTATTATGTGTTTGTAATTATACCGCTATCTGTGCTGGAGGTACAATAGGGGATGTAACTATATGCCATTGTATGTACTACCAACACAAGTGTAACCTGCGGGGGAGCTCATGACCTCTTTGCTTTCTTGATGGTTTCCAGGTCCAAGTTTTTGAATGACAAATGGATGACCCAGAAAGGGTTCATGAAAGAAGAAGATGACCTCGTTAAGAAACCTTGGTAAGGCAGTCATGTTCATTTGAGTTTTGTGAGCCGGTTGCAATGGGGTGGGCCACTTGAAATTTCTCTGTAGCTTGCAATGTTTCCTTGTCTGTTTGAATTGATCCTCTGTACATTTGGGGATACGGTGAAGCCCACTTAAATCAGTAGAAATCTTTTGAGTTATTCACTTTGAGAAAGATTTGATACTTTTGCCTCGGTGACCACTGCAATTCTTAAATGAATGAAAACTTTTTAAACTCTTCCCCCAGCCCAGTTATTCATGATGTTTTAACGCCTCATTGATGTTTATGGCATCATCTACTATTAATTAGGCAGGTTGAGATGCATATATGCTTTTTGGGCGCAGGGAACTGTCTTTTTCGTTGTTTGTGCAGCGCCTAGCACAATGGGGCCCTGGTCCATGACTAGCACTCCTAGGCACTGTAGTAACATAAATAATAATCCTTTTGTCAAGTACAGTGAAATGGACATTGTCAACTTGACATCTAGTCAGTATCAAAACAGTTAAAAGAAGTTTGGGGGGTACTTAGCTGCCCTCAGGCCCCTGCTAGTCTTTATGGTTTTACGGTCCCTCTTTCCATCTTTAAACAAATCCCTGCCTGTCTCTCCTGTTGCTGCTGGAGGACCCCCACGCAAACAGGAGGGGAAAAGTTTGCTAACAGTCTGTACAGAGATCACTGACCGGACCCAGAGTGAGCAAATTGGAAAAATACCTTCTAATGTCTTTATTGGTATTGTGGTAATGCCCAGAAGCCCCAGGTAGGATTTGGACTCTGCTGTACTACATGCTGTACTAACAGAATAAGAGACACTCCTTGCTCCAAAGAGCTTAGTTTTTCCAATTATTTAGATGGTTAGCAGTTTGGGGCAGGGACTGACTGTCTCTTATTATGTGTAAGTACAGTGCCGTAGGGCTCTGACCTTGGCTGGGGCCTCTTGACATGACGTATGACAACTAACGGATGTTTAGTTTTGAGCCAAGATGCAAACCGTGGTTGTACCAGACAGTTGGATGAAATGGAGGCTGAGGGTAATGCTGATAGGAGCACATGGCTCCACAAACTATCTAAGTGTCTCACTAAATGGCTTCAAGTCCATTAAAATGTTCTTTTCCCTTTTTTGTAAATCAAGATGTAAATGACCAACTGGAGGTATCCGTAATTTCTGTTGGCCATCTGCCATGCAGGGATAGGAATCAAATAAGATGGAAAAGGGACATGGTTGTAATTATTTCCCTTACTGAGTCCTGAAGACCCAAGTGAGCCTTTCTGCTGGTAGCGAGGGGAAATCCTGTAAGGTATCTTAGGGCATGGCAATTTCAGAATGATCAGACGAGTTGCTGTAAAACCTATGTGTTTTGTCAATAGGTGGTGGCACCTCAAAGTTCAGGAATTAAGTCTCTCTGCTCCCCTGACAGTGCTTCCAGGTGTCACCTGTGAAAAGACCATTGAAATCCTCCGAGAGAAGGGATTTGACCAGGCACCAGTTGTTGATGATTGTGGGTATGTTCAGATATCAATATCTTCCTCCCTTCCCTCCCCCTCCAAAACAAATCTGTAAGTCAAGTTTCTATTTCTTATTTACTGTTTACACACAGTAAATGAGAAGTGTGCCTTCTGTCACTTAATTCTCCAGTATCTCCTGCAGCGTCAGCAAGAGGTCAGAAATGTCCTATTACATACCACACAGCTTTCAGATTTAAAATGCTGTCCTGTCAGGGCTACCCTGCTCTTGGTCTCATAGGTTTCTAGCTACCATGACCTGATATTTGAAATGTCTCTGTCTATAATGAAGAAATCCCTATATTTTTGTCTGGGGGGTCGCTGTGGACTCCTGGTAAGGAATAGATCAAAGTGAAACCTCTCATTTAATAAACCTGAGGGTGAACCACCACCTCTGCATGGTTGGGTGTTCTCCACAGATTCTTCATGGCATTTCGCTGCAGTGAAAACTGGAAAGTGGTTGCTAACCTGGGCCTAAAGAAATGTTTTAAATCTCAAACTTTGTGGCCAATGTCGAACATCTTCTTTCCCTCAGCCTCCATGGTGAGCGTGCTGAATGGTAGAAAGCTGAATGCTGATCTTTAGTGGTGACCTTAGCCTTGTCTCAGGTTTCTTATGGAGGCCAGCAAAGACTATTTAGATCTGCAAGTTCATTTAAACTACACGCAATCATGGTCAGACAACTGAGTGATTGGATAGACAGTAGCAGAAACCACTAGTTCACCAAAATCTTCTATTACTAGGTAGGAGCTCTGAGTCCTTGCCACAGTGTCCATCAGCCTCGTCATTTGGAATCCCTCTGAATTTAGCATGTGCCAGCACACTCCACAGTTCAGTGGGAAGGACCCATAACTATTAGCCCCACTTTCGTTTTGGCTCTGGAGTTGAGCACAGCCAGGTAGGAGGGAGGTCAGTAAAATGGCTAATTATAGCAAAACTAGGGAAAACTCCCATTTTAAATGTAATCCACAGCCAGGACATTCCCATCCAAACCTAAGACTTTCCCAGAAAACTGGCATATCTGATCACCAAAGCAGAGTTCACTTGGGGGGTATCTACACAGCAGAGAACCTCCCAGCCCAGGTCGACAGATTTGGTCTTGTGCTACCACACTAAAAATAGCTGTGTAGACGCTGGAGCTTAAGCTCTGAAGCCCACCCTCTTCCCTAAACTTCAGAGCCCGAGCTGCAGCGTCTACACAGCTATTTTTTACTGCAGAAGCACAAAGTCTGTCGACCTGGGCTCGAAGCAGGCTGCCACTCACTGGCAGGGGGGGTAGGGGTTTCAGAACCCAGGCTGTAGCCCCAGCAGGAATATCTGCACTGCTTTTCCTAGCCCCACAAGCCTGAGTCAATTGATCCAGGCTCTGAGCCTCAGAGCTGTTGGTTTTTCTTTGCTGTGTAGACATACTTTCAGAATCTGAGAACACCTCTGAAAATGGTGATCTACACCGTTAAACTGACTTTTGGGCATCCCTCTGAGGAAAGCCTGCTGAGAGTGCAGTTCACTTGTCTCTAGAAAACCCTGAGTGTCTGACATTGTTTGACCATGCCTCCTCTTTTCAGTGTGATTTTGGGAATGGTTACCCTTGGGAACATGCTTTCATCATTACTTGCTGGGAAAGTTCAGCCATCAGATCATGTCAGCAAAGTAATCTACAAGCAATTCAGACAGGTAAACCTGCTCTATGTCTACTTCTTTACTTTTCAAGTATTATTGTAGGTATCCGAGCATTACAGTGGCATAGGCTAGAGTAAGGTTTGAAGTGAGGCCATACAGAATCTTCTCTTTGAGAATGTGCCACTATGCATGCAGACCTGGGCTTGGATCTCATTTTAGACTCTAAACTCAGCCTGAGGTTATTGAAAGGCTCCCAGACTTGAGTTGGTTTATGGTGCTGCATCAGACCATTGAACTCTTGTGGGTTTGATAGGGACTTTTTTTCTTGTCATTGGGGTTTCTTTTTATGTTCTCTTCTCTCCTCCCCCCCCCTCCCCAACCTGAATGTAAAACTGAGTAGTGTGAGCCTCCATGGGAAGAAATAATTGAACTTCCAACAGCTCTTTTGTGTAAATTCCAATGGCAGTTGAAACCAGCAAGTGCTCGCTTTGCAACAAAGACTGGAATTGTCACAAGCTGGTGACTGATTAGTTCTGACTGCCATCAAAGTGCATGAAGCATTATGCCAAGCAAGTCTACCTGGCAGTCAGCTGTGCCATATTTATCATACAGTAAATGGGTATAATGGTATGGAGCTCCTGTGTAAAGGGATTGGAGATGTACTGATGATAAGCACTACAAGAGCTAGGTGATGTTATCATTAATCGGGAAGCTTATGACACTCAAAATAAATAGTAGGATATTATGTTTTAGTGAAAGGCCCTCCTTTGTATGGAAGGATTGGGACATAGCTTTCTTCAGGCTTTAGATTCAATATTACATTTAGTAGTAAATAATTAAGTTCATAATGGAGCTTAATTATTATTTAAAATTCTAGGGAGGGAACTGTATTCAACTATATCTAATTATTATATTCTTATGTATAATCTACTGGCTGCTTATTTTATAGCTTGGGAAAAGGAGGAGCTGCTAGTGCTTTATAGACAAAATTAAAGAAAAATATTTTTTTCTCCCTAGACATCAAATCAAACATCAGGTGAAACTCTGGTGTGTAACAAAACTGTTTAGTCCCTGTCGTCCCTCGCTTTGCTGGTCCCTCTGTTGCTCGTGCCTGTATCGTGTATTCATTGTTGTATCTGTAATAGTCAGTTCTTTGTGCCTCTCCTCCCATTTTCTCCTGAAAATGAACATCCCTCTTTTCCCCAGCTCCATCCCCTGGTATCTGCCACTGCTAATGTGCTGGCAAAAATACAGTTCTCTGTTTTTAAAAAAAAATCTGAATTGCTATTATTATTAATTGTCTTACTGTAGTACCTAGGTGCCCTAGTTGTGAACCAGAACCCCATTGTGCTAGGTGTTCTACAGCCACAGAACAAAAATAGATTGCCAGCTCCTTGGGGCAGGGACTAAGTACACCTCTACCTCGATATAACGCTGTCCTCGGGAGCCAAAAAATCTTACCGTGTTATAGGTGAAACCGCATTATATCGAACTTGCTTAGATCCGCTAGAGTGCGCAGTCCCGCCCCCCCCCCCCCTCCCCCCCCGGAGCACTGCTTTACTGTGTTATATCCGAATTCGTGTTATATCGGGTCACGTTATATCGGGGTAAAGGTGTATATAAAAGAAAAACAAAAGAATCCTAGATGTTTGCTTTTTTTTTTATTTTCAAACTAATTTGGAATCTGTGCCAGTGAAATTGGGAAAAATTTAAGAGTCCTCATTGTCCCAAAGATGATGTCAAGTATTGTTTGAAGGAATAGATCTTTGTTAAGGCACGCTTAAAATAAAATGGATATGTTTGGTATGACTGGAAGGTAAAGCAATCCTAGTGAAATAAAGAAACCCCTCTCAAGTATGGCAGTCACAATAATTTTCTTACCAACTGGTCACCTTACATTTGAAGAAGAATTACTTTTTTTGATTTAAAATGACCAGATATGCATTTACTCTCCTGAAGCCATGAAACATTACAGTCACAAAATAACCTATTCAAAAACAGGTACTGCAGATTACCGAATAGAGAGGATGGGCCATCCTTGTGAGAAAGGCACGAGACTGAGAGTCATGGAATCTGAGTGGTGGTGGTGGGATTAACAGCACGTCCCAAAGTATGCTGGGCATTATGCAGGTGTATAGGAAAAAACATCTGCCTTGAAGAGGAGGTGGTGAAGGCTAGGACTATAACAGCATTTAAAAGAGAACTGGATAAATTCATGGTGGTTAAGTCCATTAATGGCTGTTGGCCAGGATGGGTAAGGAACGGTGTCCCTAGCCTCTGTTTGTCAGAGGATGGAGATGGATGGCAGGAGAGAGATCACTTGATCATTGCCTGTTGGTCCACTCCCTCTGGGGCACCTGGCATTGGCCACTGTCGGCAGACAGGATACTGGGCTAGATGGACCTTTGGTCTGACCCGGTATGGCCGTTCTTATGTTCTTATTTACTTTGAGGTCAATCAGAAAATTTTGTTTGGATTTTGACTTTAAGATTTTTATATTTTTAATTTAATTTTTTATCTTATCACTGACATTTTGGAATATGTCAAAACAAAGTCCATTGAGAAATAAAGAAATCAAAATGTTTCGCTTAGTTTTTTTTCAAAATGAAACTTTGTCAAAATTGACACATTCTCCCTGTCCCACCTTCCATTTAGCTGTGACATTCTGTGCATGTTTCCAAGACCTGAAGAAGAGCTCTGTGTAAGCTTGAAAGCTTGTCTCTCTCACCAACAGAATTTGGTCCAATAAAAGATATTACCTCACCCACCTTGTTGAATTGGCATTTTCTGATGGAAAAAATGGCCCATCAGAAAATTTTCAACCAGCTCTGCAGCTCATGTTTAGAAAACAATGCCCCCCCACCCGTATGTTAGCTAATCAGATGATATGAAACATGTCTCAACATTCCATCTCCCAGTGAACACATCAGCTGCATCTTGCCTCTGTTAGCCAGAGGATAGAGTTTCTACCAGTTGGTAAGAAAACTTTGAGCCTGATCCTATACGTGGTAGTTTCATTGACATCAGAAGGAGTTTTGCCTCCGTACAGAATTGGGCAAAACGCATGCCATCACATCTAACCCTTCCAGTCTTAGGGAGTCTTGAAGGTGTATTTTAAAAGATAATGGTGGGGAATAAACGAAACCAAATTCTGAAAGTTTCCCAGGATTTCCATTATGAATAACAAATACTTTTAAATTGAAGCCTGCATTGTAGTTGCAAATTGTACACTCTAGTGGTGGCTCGTCCTAGCTTGCCGTTGCTTTAACAGTCATTGCATATATATGTATTTGTGACACACATCAGTGTTTACCAATCTATGTGCAAAGCCAGGGACTAAGAAAAAGTAGGTGATTTATATAGATTTAGCTTTAAATGATTGCAGTTAGACTTGGGAAAGTCTGTGTGTTAAACTGCAATGTTTAAAGTCAATGTGCTGCAGATAAAATATATGTCATAAAGAAAGGAAAACTCGAACCCGCGTGAAGGTGGAAGACACACAGTCTGCCTCGAGCCTTACTGAGTCAAGCCCTGGCTTGCGGCACAGTAACTTTCCATGTAGATAATCCCTCAGAGTCGTATCCTGCTCTTGATCCACATCCAAAAGTCCCACACTGGTTGCATAGATGAAGTGCAATATAATTCCTTTAATCCCTTGGGCCAATCTCAGTACAGTGATAACAGGTGTGGTTATCTTTCCTTGGGGTAGAACCCATGTAGTATCTGATACACCCTTTGTTGGCAGACTCTGTCCTGTATGTGCAGAAGAAGGAACTCAAAGATCTGACCAGCCTTTTCCAGGTCTTAATTCAGTTGTCCTCTCCCATAATAGCTTGGGTGGAGTTGTTTGGTCTCCGCATTTTTTTTTTTTTTAATGTAAATGATAGCTTGGATCCTCAAAGGTATTTGGGCACCTAACTCCTATTGATTTTCAGTGCAAATTTAGGAGCCCAAATATCTTTGAGGATCTGGGCTGTTGTCAATTTACAAGCACACACAAAAAGTACAATAAATAAAGACTTTGTGGAGTCAGTCTGTCCTGTTTCTCTCCTCTCCCCCCCCCCCTCACCCCCTCCACCTTTTAAAAAAAGCAAAACATGGTGTAAATCTCCTCTAGTTCACAGGATAGGAGCCCAAGCTCCATTTTCCAGTTCTGGCCATATTACTTACAGGAGAGGATTTATATCCCAGTCCAACACTGAGCTCCTTGCAGGATAAAGGCTGTACTCTATACAAGGCAAGTTCATCTGTGGTGTAACTTCACAGAAGTGTCCTTAAAAAGACACAGCTGATAGCCTGTATTACTTTTCGGATGGAAAATCACCCAGCTAATATACCAGATTTGTCTTCAAATTGATGGGAGCACATTGATGATACCAAAACATGATTGTTCATGGAATGCAATTTTGTGCTTTCTTTTAAATACCCAGCAAATGAGATCAGCCTGTAGGGCCAAATTTTTAAATGTATTGGGCACTTAACTCCCATGGGAATTAGGTGGCTAAATACCTTTCAAAAATCTGGTCTTTAGTGCTTTAATATTCTGTGTTGCTAAAGAAAAACCTTACAATAGTTTAAGCAGGTTCATTAAATTCTTGATTCTGAGTTCTTTGTTTGTTGCTTCTGAGTAATATGTTAGCTCGGGTTTGGTTTTTTCTTTTTTTTTTTCCTTTTTTTTTTTTTATGGCTTTTCTCACTGCTACCCTCCCCAAAACATCCTTTTTCCAAATCAACTTGCAGTCTGATTTCCCACCCCCTCACATCCATTCCCTCCAGAGTTGTACAGGTGAGTATATTCTTATGTTTACATAGCAACATTCTTTCATTAGACACATGGAACACTGATTTTTATCTGTTTTTTTTAAATCTCTCCTGTCTTTATTTTTTGTGTACGTGTGTCAAAATGAAAATTTCAGGTGCTATTTCCCCTTAATTTTTTTCTTTTCTTCTTTTCTTTTTGTCCAGCTTTTTTTCCCAAAAACCACAGCCCTTAACAAACCCCAAGAACTCAGTGGGACATGGATTCATTAAGTAGTAGTTGTAATGTACAGCACTTTGAACATGAACAACGCTGTACAAGTGCTAATTTATTATAATTTTAACGGTCTCTAGGATGGTAGGGGTGGGGGCTGTTGAACTTTTATGTTATTACAGGACACTTTGCTTTTAAGTTTGGTAACTTTCTCTCTTTTTAGATTCATCTGAAAGACAGCTTGGGGAAACTTTCTCATATCCTGGAAATAGACCACTTTGCTCTAGTTGTACATGAACAGATTCAGTGTGAGTATAACATAACACTCCTTGTAAAAGGTAGTGTATAGGGTGTGTGTGTGTATATATAAATAGTACCAAATGACACCGTGAGCTGTTATGTATGAGGCATTAGATATTGTGTGGTAAGAGTTGGGTAAACCAAAGGCCTCAACCACCTTACCCATGTAGGTATTCCTGTATAAGCCCATTACTAACACTGGACCACGAGAATGATGAAATGATTAGAAACGTTCTTTATAGTGAGACTCAAGAAGCTCAGTCACCTTAGCCTAAGAAAGAGTAAGTTAAGGGGTGACTTGATCACAATCTATAAGTATCCACATGGGGAACAGAAATTAGATAAGAGGGTTCTTCCAACTAGTAGACAAAGGTATAACAAGTTCCAGTAGTTGGAAGTTGAAGCTAGACAAATTCAGACTAGAAAAAAAGTGCACATTTATAACAGGGAGGGTAATTAACTGTTGGACAAACTTACCAAGAGTTGTGGTAGAATTCACGTCACTGGAAATTCTTAAATCAAGAGTGGATGTTTTCCTAGAACATTGTTCTAGTTCAAACAGGAATTAATTCAAGGAAGTCCTGTGGCCTGTGTTGTTCAGGAGGTTAGACTACATCGGGGTAGGCAACCTATGTCACACGTGCCAAAGGCAAGCTGATTTTCAGTGGCACTCACACTGCCCAGGTCCTGGCCACCGGTCCGGGGAACTCCTGCATTTTAATTTAATTAAATGAAGCTTCTTAAATATTTTAAAACCCTTATTTACTTTACATACAATAGTTGAGATATATATTATAGACTTATAGAAAGAGACCTTCTAAAAACGTTCAAATGTATTACTGGCACGATAAAGCTTAAATCAGAGTGAATAAATGAAGACTTGGCACACCACTTCTGAAAGGTTGCCGATCCCTGGACTACATGATCACAATGGTCCCTTCTGGCTTTATAGTCTAAGAATCTATGAGCATTGTGACAATGCACCACTTTGCATTGAGAAAATGATTGACGTCTAGCTTTTTTTGTGGGTGCCTAAAGTTGTGTAGAACACCGCATAGCATCAGTCATTTAAATTGTTCTTTCCATTGTGCATTACCTTGCATTTTTCTATACAGAATTTCACCTGTTGGTGTGTTACCCATTTGTTTGTTTTGTTAGGTCCCTCTGAAGTGACTTACAAGCCCCTCTAGACTTCACTAACCTAAACAGTTGTCTTTTGCAAATGTTGCCTCTTCACTGCTCACCCCATTTCCAGATCATTCAAATAATGCTAAGTACTAAGTCTCCTAGTACAGCAATGTGAGGCACTTACACTGCTAACATCTTCCATGTTGAAAACACAATTTATTCCAAACTTTTATCTCTCAGCTAGTTCCTAATCCATGACAGAAATTTACCTCTCTTCCCATGACTATTTAGTTTCCTTTGCAACCTCTGAGTAAATTTAGCAAAGGGTTTCATTTCAGTAATTCCTAGAGTGCTGTCAATAAGAATGGCAGCTCACCTCCATCTGAATGTACAATCGGTTGGGTAGGTTGGCTTCTTAACCATACCTGCGGGCCTCTGGTATTTTGGAGTCATAGTTGGCTTCTAGTTTTAGAAAGCAGTAGTATAAAAATTGAGTGTGTATTTGGTTTGAGCCTGCAAAGGTAGGAAAAATTTTCTTGTGTTTTTCTGTAGATCACAGTGACGGCTCCTCCAGTAAGAGACAGATGGTGTTTGGCGTTGTTACAGCCATTGACTTGCTTAACTTTGTGACTGCACGGGAGTGGGAAAGAAGGGCCACCTAAGTTCAAGGACCACTCTGCAACATCTTCCGTGGCATTTTGCAGTCTCTAGAAAGAATCAGGTCTCTCTCTCTCTCTCTCTCTCTCTCTCTCTCTCTCTCTCTCTCTCT